TAGCCTGAGTTAATCACTTCTTTCTGTCTGCTTTCCTATTTTTAAAATTCAAACACATCCATCCACCTAAGGCTTATTCACTGAATATATGAAAACAAGTTACAGCATACTCTGAGATCATACCTGCCCATTACAACCCCTGCTTCAGCGCTGGCATAACAAATCAGGTACCTACGTTACGGCTGGGGGACGTGGCTCATGGGCACTGGTTAGCACATCCCCTAGATAAGGAGTTAATAAAAGATTGCTGTAGTATAGTAAGAGAACATCCCAAATGCCACGCAGCGCAACTACCAGACAGCAAGGCTCTTGTGCTGGGATCTGTAATTACAGAAATCAGGTCCTTCCGTAACGAGAGACAAAGATAGCTGTAGTCAGCGCTATGGAAGATTCCTCCTGGGTGCTACTGAGCATGAGCTACACATCTAGCACCTGTACTTTCCTACAAGCCTTTTACTCTTTGCAAATCTCCTTAACTTGGAGAACCGTCTGACTGCTCACTGGTACGAGGAACAGAGGTGGCACACATACTCTCCGGACAGTTTTACTACTCTCCATCATCACCACCAGATGGTGAATGCTCACAGGAGCTGGGCTTTAAGAGACAGGACTGGTTTTGAAGCATCTCTGGCATTGGGCATGGAGGCTTCCCTTTTCTGTCAACACAGCACAAAGAAAAACTAACACCAGTACCCACACTATCAGGAAGAACAAGATAAAAGCTCAACCTTTTTACTACCACAAGAAAATGCAAGCCTACTGTTAGACAAACTAGCCTAAGAACTGCACAAAAATCTTCTTTTCCGTCTTTAACAGTAGCCAAGGAAATGAGACAGAAATTTAAATCAACCCCTTGCCTTAAGCCCCAACGTTTAGCAATCCTCAGGTAGACGTCCTGCAATTACACAATGATTTTAGGTTCTAACACATCAGCCAGCCCAAATTCTTAACCCGTCCCACAACTTCCCTGCTCCAAGCAGCCACATGCAAAACACAAATTGACGGAAGCAGGCACAGCTTCCCGCAGTCCCAGCTTCGTCTCCCTCGGCCCACGGCCACGCTCGGACCAGCTGCTCTCCACGAAGGCAAAGGGCTGTACCAGCACAGGCTGGCGGTCGCCTGGGAGCCCGGGACACCTTCCCTAGAGCACGCATGCAAAGACGGAAGCCGCGTTTGTCTGCAAGTTAATTATTAAGTGTTTTTCCTCCTGCAGAATTCCTGCCCATCCAGCACCATGGCAACAGCTTTATCCCCCTCCTTGGCAGCAGCGTTGCTGCAGTAACAGTGTCCATGACTCATCTGGAAGAGAGGAGAGTCAAGCAGAGGCACCAAAGAGAAGTAAACCCCGGGCAGAATCCCCACCAGGCTCCTGCTCGTTGATGTTTGCATCCCCGTACTGTATTTTCCAACTCTTTTTGCACTGAAAAATATTTTAAACCTTTTTTTAAGAAAAACCAAACAAACAAAAAAAAAAAAAAAGAAAAACAACCCCAACATGCCAGTATCTAACTGGATGACATCTGGGAAGATTAGCTGCTACAGTACTGTAATCAAGTGGTTTTTCCTCCTCTAGCAGTGCCCAGTCTCCTAGCAGGGGGGAAAAAAAAAAAAATAAATAAAAGAGAGATATGTATTCCTCTCAGTCAGTATTAAATTTTCTTGCTGCAATTTCTGTTCAAAAAATCAATCAGAGTAGCCATGTGCTGGTTTTTCCCCATACATCACAGAAGCCCACAGCTACACTGGAAGGTCTTACTGAGAACGGGCTGCTTGCAGCTGGCAGATACTTCTGCGTAGCTGAGCACTGTCAAATTTGCTAATCTCATCCCATACATACTTATTTTTAAATTACTGTAGGGCCCAGTTGCCCACACTTCCGTGACGCGCTTAAATGTATCATCTGCTTTCATTATCCTAATTCACCGTCACCACAAGTTGGGGAATGGAGGCACCATCCGTGTCTATTTTAGTTAGACGTAAGGCAGCTCAAACCTCCATCGAGTGAAGAGGATCCTTACAAGAAAGGTAGGCTTGGTCTGCAGGACAGAACATTTTCTCGTTTCTTCCACTTCCCCTGAATCAGGTCACGTTGTTTCCCCGTTAATAACCAAATAATGATGGTATCTCCCCAAACAAGCCCTCCGTACTCACCTGATTCAGGGCTGACAGGGAGCACACTGCACAAGGGATGAAGGGACGGACACATCAGCGCTGGCCTAGGAACCCTACAGATTGGCTTTTGCCCTGAAGTACTCACATTAAGTTGTGCAAAAACAGGTCACAAAAGAGGGACATACTCCTTCCTAAAGCCCATCCCAGAGCTCCACACCCAATCTCTTCCTGGAAAGAGTTTGCCAACCGAGCTGAACTTGTTCTCAAAGCAAAGAACAAACTCCTGCACCTTGCCCAAGCCTGGCACTAGCAGCTACTGCTCACTCACACGTCACTGTTCCTGCTGGTCCCTCTGCAGCTTCTTTCCCATAATCTCTGTATCATGCCCAAAGATCTGCAACTCCCCACTATTAGAGACGTTTTCTTTCGTAAGACACTTTCTTTCTTAAGACCTACCATGGTTTTGAAGAGTTTGGAAGCACAACTAGCCACACTGCGGTGGTCTCGGGAAGCAGCAGAGGTGATGGACTTCCTGAGCCAGACACAATGGATTCCTCAATGAATTCTCCTATTCCCTTTGCACAACAAAGTGATTCCAAAATAAACCCAAACAGCAATCTGTGGCAAGGCATTCATTAGGAGGTCTCCAGCGTTGTTATCAGAAACCGTGGATGCTCATTCCCCGTTACAGTTCTGAGGTGGTACCTCTGCTGTCCAACCCAGGGAAGAGCCGGTTCTCATCCAGGAAACCTTCCTCCCCTCCCAAGAACAACCAAGATTGCAAAAGAGAGCAGCAGAACAGCCTGGACAACGACAGCAGGCACTGCCTGTTCTCTTGTGAACAATGGTACACTGTGACCCGGGGTACATATTTCCAGCCATATATATTTTAGCAAGCTGGTGTTAGAAAGGAGCACAAAAGGTGAGGGCTAACACAACACTAGATAATGAGAGAGAGCTAATGAAGGCACTTTCTCCTCCTGCCCTCTCCCTGTTATTTCAGTTATCCAGTGGATGAGATTAGGTGTTTGATCCTCCTCAGAGAAAGCTAAAAGCCGATCCCATATTTTCAGATTTCCTTTGCGACCACCCCGCCAGGCACATTTCATCAAGAGGAGTTCATGGGAGCAACAGGGTTAGCGCTCCGTGTTGTGCTCCTTCTCTGCAATCAGGAGGAAGCACGTGTCCCCTCTCACAGACACTGCAGATATTTCTGCGGTGCTCATCGGAGCGTCTAAGCTCAGATCGGGCAGCTCCTATTTTAAGACTTTAATAGCCCACAAAGGAAAGCAGAGTGTACCTGGGGTAAGAAAGAACACAAAATCTGGTTGTGAGAATGGGCGTAAATCAGGAGGATGGTGTACAAGAAACTGATGCAACGGCAGTGACTTGCAATAGGGACATCTCTCCCCAGCACAGGCAATAACAAGAATTTGGGGAATGAGAAGGCTCCTGTAGCTATGCAGGCCTATTTCTTAACATGCATTAGCCAACAAGGTCAGAAGCTATTTTGAAGACAACTCCCAAGGCATAAGCCAGGTATAAAGCAAAGACAACTGCAGATGAATTGCTAGGAGCTGGAGATTAGGAGATTATCAGATTGAAGAGTCTCAGGAGGAAGCGAGTAAAAATAGCACGAACCCCATGAAGATGCGGAGCGGTGACGCAGGACAGAGTGCAAGACCTCGAGGGGAAGGCAGGGCAGGTTTCAAGCGGTATCGATACGTCTGCTCAGACAACAGGAGTTCAATTAAAGAAAAAACTAAACCATTTCCCCTGCCCCCTGCCTCAGCAGCTCACATCCCGTAAGCAGAGGGGCAGAGAAACAAGCTAAGCCAGCCAGGATCCGCTCCATTGCTAACGCCGTGGGGTTTGGATAAGCAAAGTCAGCGGGGGCAAACGGGGAGGGAGGCACCCCCCCCCCCCCCCAGCCCTTAGCTCCGTAATTAGCCCCCAAGGAACAATCTCGCACCAGGAGGATCCCACAGGAGTTTCTCTGCAGCGGCACGTTTCCTCGCCACCGCCGTGACTGAAGCGCAGGGCTGCGTCCCA